GGGAGAAGGAAAACAAAACATTCAGAGACTACAACTTCCACCATCAGGGAAAGCACTCACAAGAGAACTAAAATGATACAGCCCACCATACTACTTTATTACTATGATATTATAGACCAAGCTTAGTGATGGAATTATAGCACGCAGTAAGTGGGATGGATAGAAAGTCAGAATTGATGCCCCTTTCATTCTATACTTTTATACGTTAGTTGAAACATAGCATGTAGTTTAATTTTAATCTGGACAACTAGTTTTATAGAATCCATCACAAAACAGAAGATAGTCCAAGCATTCTAGAACACTTTCTCGGCAAAATGTTTAAATGTACAGATCACGCCTAATAGGCACAAACCCAGCTATTTAGGAGGGAGTCCACAAACCATAATTAATTAATCTATGGCTTAGCATGGGCAACTTGTGGCTCCCTAAACCCTTTCAGAGCAACCTAGTTAATTTGGTGGAGTGACAGCGTAAAGCAATCAGCATGGTTTCCTGCTGCTGAGGACACCATCTTTGTATTTCTTCATAAATATTTTCCAAGCATTAATATTTTCCAAGCATTGACACTTTATCAGAGTTTGATTCAGATACCACATTGCTTTAGAGCCCACACTGCTCAGATAACAAGCATTTAAAAAAAAAGTACTTTGAATGTATTTGCTTAAATTTGAGTATTTGTACATAGGAGAGCTCCTTTATGGAAATGACGTTTCTGTACTCCTTATAATCTAGGACTGATTCTGGCTTGGTGGAGACTATGGTGCAAAGTTCTAGCAAAAATTCCTTAATTCAGCCTTTCCAGCCTGCCTCATGTGCAGATAACCCAAAATTTAAAGAAAACAGCAAGATTCAGAAGAGTATTAAAATTAACTTTTATTTGGCCAATGAGTTCCATTCCTTTGAGCATCATGGATGCTTAAACCAAATTCTGTTGAAACACATCATCCTCTTTGCAATGCAGCACTCCATGGCTCTCAAGTATCCCCACAAAACTCCTAGTTATCAAGTGTCCTTTTTGTTGTATTCAGGGAAGTTATTTCCCAACAGCCCCCAGGAAACCCATTTGCAAAAAAAATGTGTAGATAGCAAGGCTTATGTTTCATTGCAGGGGAGGTGGCAACTCAAGTTAGATTTTGCCTTAGGCAAGGAGGCAACTGGACTCTCATTCTACAGCAACAGTTTCCTACCCTTCCGGATCTTTGGGTGAGAGAGATCAATTGTACAGTATAAAGAGGACGTGAGACTATGCAGTGAGTTAAGAGGACCTTTTATACCTCACTCATTACCTTTTCCACTGGCATCAGTGGTCAGCCTAGTGATTTCTTCCACACTGGAATGGTCTGGGGTGAGGAAAAAACAGTAAAGCACAAAGAAAAAATGCTGGGACAATTACCAAGAGCCTGCTGGGTCAACAGCAGCTTATATCATTTAGACACCTTGTGATTAAGGTTTAAGGATGCCTTACTGATGGAATTCTCAAGTTAGTTAGGCAATAGGACTTATTACCATTTCAATCTGCTTCTACCCAGGCCACAATACTCTAAGGAAATGTACATCAAAGTTTGCAAATGAAAGAAAAATGAAGAGAAGAGAAAAGAAGAGAAGAGAAGAGAAAAGAAAAGAATTCTCAAGTTAGTTAGGCAATAGGACTTATTACCATTTCAATCTGCTTCTACCCAGGCCACAATACTCTAAGGAAATGTACATCAAAGTTTGCAAATGAAAGAAAAATGAAGAGAAGAGAAAAGAAGAGAAGAGAAGAGAAAAGAAAAGAAGAGAAAAGAAGAGAAAAGAAGAGAAAAGAAGAGAAAAGAAAAGAAAAGAAAAGAGAAAAAGACCCAGCAGAGTTTACCAACTAGTCAGATTCCTCCTCAGCACAGAATAAAACTAGATTTGTTTGACAGGTTAGGGGAAAGAGTTAATTTCCCTGGACTCTCAACCAGCTTCAGTCTTCTGGTTAGAGTTTGCTTGCTGACTTGCTTGACTGCTTGAGTTGGCAGCCACAGCAGAGTGTCTGGGGATATGCAGATTGGACTCCTGTTTACAGTTCATCTTTTTGAGCTGCAGTTTCTTCTTCCTCGTCAACATCTGGCTCCTCTTCTGTGTCCTCTAGGTCGTCCAGATCCTGTTTCAATGAAGAAAGGACTAGTTAACTGTTTGTAAATTCTTGTGTCTCACAGCTCGCAGTTAGCCTCTACAGACCAATGCAGAGCTAGGGTGCTGTGAGAGCAGCTGCTATGGCCCTTACCAGGATGGTAACTCAAGAGCTGCCTTTATGTTTAAAATGTAACTAACTGAATGAATCTTCCCCTAACACATGCAAGACCAGGAAAATCCCATGCATTCCAAGAAGCCACACAAGACCAAAAAACGGGTAGAGAAATGCCAAAAGCACATTGTCCACAAGCATTTCCATACAGCAGGTAGAAGGGATTTCCAAGCAGTGGGGCAACATTAGGTTTCCCACATCTTCTATAAAGTTAAAATCTTTTTAATGAATAAAAATAACAAAGGGGTAACTTTATTACATATAGTTTAATTTCTCAATTTTAAAGCACCTGAAGCACCTTAATTTTTCAATTTTAAAGCACTTCAGGTACCTAACATAACCAAATTGCTGTCCCACAGATATTATGTAAGGTTCTGCTAAACCATGCTACTCAAAAGTAATAGAAGTCTTTTATGGAATAATCAATAGTTAAAACTCCTAGATAATATACAAAGAACCAGTCTGGTGTAGTGGTTAAGGCACCAGGCTAGAAACTGGGAGATTACAAGTTCTAGTCCTGCCTTAGGCACAAAGCCAGCTGGGTGACCTTGGGCCAGTCCCTCTCTCTCAGCTCTACGAAGGAGGCAATGGCAAACCACTTTTGCAATCTTGCCAAGAAAACTGCAAGGACCTGTCCAGGCAGTCACCAGGAGTTAACACTGACCCGAAGGAACAAAAGAGAAAACCCAAAACCCTGTTCACAGGATATGTTCAAAGACCTATATTAATTTTAAACTCCTGTTTACTTCTTAAGGGTTTTCTCAAAGAAAATATTTTGCAAAAAACCCAGTACAGGTAGTCCTTGTTTAACAACCACAATTGGGATTGGCAACTTGGTTGTTAAGTGAAGCAGTTGCTAAGTGAAACCATGACTGTGCTTATGATCTTACTTCAGTTTTCTTTTGTTTTACAGACCTGCAAAGGTTGTAAATGCGAGGATTGGTCACAAAGTTACTTTTTCATCACCTTTGTAACTGCGAATGGCCACTAAATGAGGCAGTCACTAAACAAAGAGTACCTGTACACATAATCCTGCCAGGATATACCCAATCCAGCATTTCTGGAAGTCCAATGCTTAGCTCATGGATTACCACTTGAAGGAAGGAAAGCATATGCTGCTCATTACCTCCTCCAATTCAATCATGTTCTCCTCCTTGTAGACATTGTTATCATGAGTTCCAGATTCAAGGTTCAGAACCATGAACAGGCTTCAATTTTTGATTTTTTTCTACAATTCTGGGAGAGTTCCATCAATCAGAATCCAGTACAATGGTAGCTCAGAAAAAGGAGCAAATGCACACTTACATTTAAAGAACAGGTCCTTTGAATATGCCTGAATCACAAAACTGATTCTGTACTAGAAAGAACCAAGATCATGGTCCTTTTACACATGGAATTATTTCTAATTCTGATCCTACTCTAATCCTTTGTTTAGTCATGCAACTCAGAAAAAAACCTGGTAGTCAGTACTTTTTGATCTATTCTAAACCACTGATCATCACCATCTTGGACTTAATAATCCAGTAACACTTCTAATTATTATTTTAGTTAATCCAAGTCTCATAAAACACAGGTTAAGAATGATCTGTCTTCAGAAATGTTGGTATCTATCAGACTGAATGAAACAAAAATGTATAGTTTTCTGAAATTCACTGGGTCAGTTAAGAGTAAGCTAAATTGAAATGAAACAAGCCAGCAGTATTTTGCTTCATCTTAGCTATATGTTAATGCCAGGTATAATGCTCCAAAATCATGCAGCAATCAAAAAAGAGCTGAATTGAGTATCTGAACATCCACTCTTAACACATAATGGATGGTGCAGAGAACACAGCAGCTCAAAAAAGCAGATAACAAACCAAATCAGGAGTTTCTATATGCACAAAGCATGGTGAAGAATGTGCTCTAACACCTGGCATCAACAATAGCTACAGATATATACATCTTCAGCCCTAGTAACCAACTTGAAGTCACCACATAGAATCTACTACATACAGAAATTCTACAAGAACATCAGATAAGCCAAAATTCTTACTGGCTAATATAAATGGCATATCCACAGCAATTTTAATTTTGGCCTTTTCTATTTACCCTTTAAAAAGAAGCTCAAAAGTATAGTAGTATACAGAGCTAGTAGCATCTCTGTCAATGAACAAGCAGAGAATAGTTACACATGCTAAAAGCAGCAACTCTGACTGAAACAAGAGGACGTGCACACCTGCTGATGGGCTTTGGATTGCCCACTGAAGATTCATCTCACGACAACTATGGGTTGTTGGGCCAAGGCTGAGGGGAATGCAAACAATGTTTTTTCAGCATTTTTTTGTGTTTATCTGAGCATGGAAATGTTTTTATAGGCTCCTGCATTTTACATAGCCTGCTCGGTCCACATGGAATTGCAGATATTCTGAACACCCCTACTACCACCCCAGCTCATTCTGGATATTACCAGCTGTGTTTTGTTTAGAGGTTGCTATGTAACTAACATTCTCTGCTGCCACAATAAGCCATAAGTAACTTCACAGGACAAAACTACCACTTCCTCAGGGATCTGACTTATGTCCAGGAGCTAACTATATATCAGAACAGAGTATAACCCAAGATACTCACATTCTCATCTACACCACCATCTTTTCCACCGCTTTCCAGGAACTTCTTAAAACCCTCCAACGTCCTCTCTCCATTGTAATCTACAACCTAGAAACCAAGAAATAAGAGAATTAGTACGTGGAGGCAAATCTGGGTCTTGGTAGATGAAGGATTCACTTCTGAACAGCCAAAAAAAGAGAATAGGGGTTTGAAAATTCACCTTCACCCATATGAGTCGAAGAGGAGCCAGCCACTAGACTCCCATGAATGCTGTGAGGAAAAAATAGAGCACCATCCTCTCTTAAACAATTTCCCTACACATCAAGACACAGATATACCCAAGCCATCCAAGCATACCCTAAAAACAGGCTAGGGGAACTATTTTCCCCTCTGTCAAGATTCAGTGTACAACTGCACTCACCGTTCTGTCAGGGCCAGCAGGGAAATACTTGAGGGTAGGGAAACTGTGGACCTTCACAGCCTCAACTTCATTGGCTGTGGAGTCCATCTTAGCAATAATGATGTTTTCATGGTCCTTATAAGTTTCTCCAAGTTTATCCCAAATGGGAGCCAACTGTTTGCAGTGGCCACACCAAGGAGCATCTGCAAGCCAAAAGATGATAAATTATTTTAACAGCTGTCCAGAATGCACAGCTGCCTCCCCGCTTTTTTTATTTGGCCACTGAGAAACTTTCCTCTGATTAATCATATATAATTTAGGACAAGATAAACATGTATGCATGCACATACACTGCTATCATCAAAATACTTACAGAATTCCACGAACACATTCTTATTTTCATCAAAAGCAACCTCCTCAAAGTTCTTTCCAACCAGAACTTTGACAGGCTGCTTGTCCCAGTCATCAGAAATCTCTTGGCTCATCAGATGGGGCTGAAATACACATGTAAAAGCAACAACATGAGAGCAACCGCATGGAATGTGCCGACAGGAAATCCCTACACCCACTGTTACAAGTGCAAAGCAACTGACAGACTATAAAAAGGCAGATTAATATAGATTTGCTCCTTCAAGGTCACACCCCCATCCCATGACCCAGACACATCTGAGTTCTCGCGTGAAGGATGCAAATAATTCTACACAGAGCAGGTCTATGTATATTAAACTGTTACTGCCCAATCAACGCTCTGAAGTTATAAAAGAGGAGGAATACATAGCACATAGATATAAAGGAAAGAAAATGAAGTGATTACGATGCCCTAGTTAGTTTCAACATTTTTACGAGGCTTTTCTACATTACACTTCAAAGAGACTCATACCCCAGCCCTCCTCAGTGTTTGGACCCCAGTTCCCATTTTTCCCGATTTCTGTCCACATTGGCTAGGGCTAATGGAAGATACAGACCAAAGGCAACTATGTTGGAAAGGTTGCTTAAAATGACCATGTCAAAATTCTCAAGCAATATATTTAAAATAGTCTTAAACATGATTTTTAATTGTTCCATGTGTTGCTTGATCTTAACCCTCCCCAATTTTAACTGCCTAATTGTAGATATACCTTCAATTTATCTCCAGTATCTAAACTTATTTCATATAGGTAGAAAACAATTTTATTTTTGCTTTCTACTCCAAAGCTAGCCTTCTAGCCTAATAATTATCCCAGTATCTTAAGATCTCATCTATTTTGAAGCCTACTGCCAGAAGTCTCAATAGCATACCCAAGACAAAAGATGTTTTATATTCTATTAATATAGTCATTTTATAACCCATATCCTGTTCAACATTTCTGTCAAGTTATTTAAATTTCATATTTTAAGCCTTCCTTCCCTATCATAAATTGGGCTTTATCAATTAAGAAAAATGTTCTTAAACTTTTAGCCTTGTTGACAATTCCTAACATTTTTTTCCAAACAATCAGATCCATTAGATCATGAAGAACATGGCTTGATTGGTGGAGGGAACGGAAAATGGAAGTAAAAAGACAGGACAATGAGACACAGCAAAGGAGGGATTCAAGAGAAGCCTTGAATGACAAGTATAAGAAAAAACACTAGCTGGGTCTTGATAACAGGTTTCCTTTCCAGACTGAAATAGAAATCTTCCAAGGATTCATGCAGCGTGAGGCCAAGGCCACGCTTCCTCTTTTGTCATGCCGAAAAGATCAATTCTTGGATCCGCACCACTCATTCTAAAGCAGCTCCCAAATTCATGCAGCTTACTTTACTAGCACAGTAGAGCCATTTAAATCCTGACACCTTGCTCCACTGACTCTGCCCTTTGGATTTCTCAGCATGAAGCTCCACATAGTGTAAGGTCAAACTACACTGCAATGTGAATTAAAAAGACTTTGTGCCATATTACAGTTCTCAAATTCCATGCCATTTGTGCTACGAGGATCTTGCATGGGTACCTGCTCCAAAAACCACATTTAAAATAAACCTATTACCTTAACTTTGCCCTCCAAGAACTTGTGGCAGAAGTCCCTGATATTCTCTGGAGTCAGCTCATCTGATTCTGGTTTGTACTTGGTCATTTCTTCCTCCAGAGTAATAAGACGTACAGCAGGGCATTCCTCCTTTTTGAGGCCAAAGAACTCCAAGATCCTCTGGTTGTCACTATGGTCACTGTCAATGTAAATGAACAAGATCTTGGGGAGGAGGGGGGAAAAACAGGACAATGAATGCATTAGACAAATGTACTTGGGACAGCAGAAAACTCTGAATTAAGATTTCCCCCCACTATCTATCCCATCTCCCTAAGCCCCTTTGCACTTCATGTACAATTCTAAACATTACAATCCTAAACCTGGAATAAGCAACCTTGTAACCTCTAGTCATTTTGGAGTAGAAGTCCCACAAATGGCTTGCCGCTGGCCATGCTAGTGATGAAAACTGTAAAGTAAGTAGCGACACTAGACTGCCTACACCTACACAACACATGGAAGATGGAACTCTCAGATGATCATTAAAGTAATGTTACAACACTTTGCAACAAAGCAGAATGCACTACTTTCTACAGCGGCAAAATTCCTCTGGAATGATTTCCTTGCATGATGTTGGGGCTAACAACTCCTTGTTTTAAGTACTTTTAAAACTCTTTTTTGTTGGCTTTCTCCAGTTACAACTCCTGTTAAAATGGTTCTTTATAATGAATTGCATTTAATTCATTACAATGTATTTATATTACTGTCATAAATTCTTTGAGATTTATATAAACAAGAAGATGTTTTGTGAATCAACATTTAAAGAACAGAAATAAAAATGAGAAGCAATAGTTCACATGCCAATTGTAACTATGATTTTTCAAGTGTCAAGGGACTCAAGGAAACCCCAACAACAAAATATAGACTTTAGGAAAACCATATTCTTTCTTGGTTCTACTTACCTATAACTGAGAGAGTTCTTATGATTTTAATGCTTGGTAATGTGCAACCATATGAGGAATGGAATGTATAATACAATGTACAAATGTTTTCTTATGAGCAAGTAATTTCTTAGTTACTTCCTTTTATTTACCTTTCCTTTGAAGTCTTCAGCTGCTGTTTTGAAGTTATCCAGTTTATTCTGGTATTTCTCAACACTCTTAGGCAAGAATAACAGGATGTGTGTCTTAATCTCTCCTCCAAAAATTTTGGGTGCAGTCTGGGGGGAAAACAGTTGCATTACTGAAGACAATTACATTACAAGGAATCCCAAGATTAATTTTCCTGACCATTTCACCTCCTCCTTCCAGCCTTTTGGATTCACTGCAGTTTGTCCTGCCACAGACCCAAGCTACAGGCCAACTCACAAACATTATATATCACTTAGATCATGTATAACCTGAGATCTACTTCTTTACCTGTTCGGTAAATTCAATCACCAGGGGCAGCTGGTTTGATTTGATGAAATTCAGTAGGTTGTCTTTTGTTATTTCCCCATCAAAATTGTTACGACCTTCATCAAACTGGAAAAATACAGAAGGATACAGCTTACATCCAGAAAATCGACAAAATGCATACTCAGTTACGCAAGCTCTTAGTAAAACAATATAATAAAGCAGGAGCAGGTCTGCCTATCTGTCATAGTGCTACAGGAGTATACACTGTCTTACTTCCTGCAGTATCCACTTCCCAAAGAACCTCAGCATTCACTGAGGTTTCTAGTCTACGTGACAGTGTAATCAAATGCTACCTGTGGAAGGTGGGAGAAGGCCAAAGGCCTGAGGAAGGGACAAGGACAGCAGAATTGCGTGTGATTCCTTGTTCTGTGCCTCAGCCAAATTATGCAGGAAACACAGTTAAATATGAAGGCATCCAATAATTCGTTTTTCACAGGCAGAGGATTATTTTAAAATTGCAAAGATATTGTAAGGCTCCAACCCCCATAACTCATTTACAAATCTACGGGAGCACATTTCACATTGTAAGCAAGGCACAAAATTCTCAGTGCCCAGGATAGAAACTAAACCACAGTTCTCATCTTACCACCCAACTGGATTCAAGCAGCAAGCAAAAGAAAGCTTGGCACGTATTAGGAGATCAGATTCTCAATGTAATATTTCTGCAAAAGGACATCATTATTCCTGAAACTCTTTAGAAAATAACTGAGAAATTGTTTTAAATCTCAGCACCTTAGATGTTCAATACTCCTGTTTTAGAGAGTGAAATTACAGGGCTTGCTCGAATTGGGGAGACGTATCCAATCAACAGAGCTGTTAAAAAAGGCAGAATTGCGCACTATTAAGCCCCTAAACAGAGAGTAGTTTATTTAGAGGCAATGTACCCCTGCAGGGCTATTGTTAGCTACAAAGGAACAGATGCATAGTTCAAGCACCAGGAAGGGTCTTCTTGCAGAGTAACATCCACTATTGCCCTTTTTTTTCATAACCTTTCCTGGCACTACCGAGGGGAAAGGAAGCAAATAGAGGACTATAGCCTTATTCGGGGTTGGATGTTTTCCCTTCAAAGGCTGGAAGATTCTGCTTTTATTTTCCTTCCAGTCACTTTTGTATACCACAATTTATTTATATGAACCACTGGCCACACCTGTGAATTGCAGCCCAACACAATGGAAGAGGACCAGGCTAGAGAAGGGTGGAGCATTTTATAGATAATTTAAAAATCAGTTACGTTGACTTTAAAGATGTGAATGGGGAATTATTTCATTTTGGTTCCTACTAGTCTCTACTAGGCCTGATTCTCTGACCCTCTGCTAGTCCTACTGATAACCTCTTAAGAAATCAAGAACTGATGAGGAGATCAAAATTAACTCTTGAAAACATACAGCTTTCAGCTGCTAAGATGAATACAACAGCCTGAGATTTGCACACAAGACAACCTTCCAATTTTTCATTTTCACATATTTATGCTCATAAGCTGGGGCAATTTTATAGAAGGCACTGCAACAGAACCAAACAGCAAGACTTAAGGCAGCCTAAGACATTCAATATACGGATAGTCCTCGGCTTAACAACCATTCATTCAGTGACCGTTCAAAGTTATGACAGCACTGAACGAAGGGACTTAAGATTGGTGCCCGAAGTTACGGCCGTTCTGGTGCCTGTGGTCATGTGATCAAAATTTGGGCGCTTGGCAGCCTGCCTGCACTTACGACTGAAAGGGTGCTTCAACTCCCCCCACCCATCTCCCCACAATCTATACCCCTTTAGCCCCCTGCACTCCACGGCCCCTGCCGCCCTAGCTGACCTTCGCCATCTTCTTGCTCCTGCTGCTGACCAAGCATGCCTGGCTGGCCCTTCACAAGGCAGCTGCTGGCCACATGAGGCTTTCTTCCCAAGGATGCACACAGCAGTTTCCTTGCAAGGCCTGGGGAAGATGGTCTCACGTGGCCAGCAGCTGCCTTGTGAAGGGCCAGGGTGGGCATGCCTCGTCAGCTGGGGTGGCAGAGTACAGGGCGGCAGGGGACTCAGAATTCAGAGTGGCAAGGGCAACTGTGGCTGGTACTGGGGCTTTTTGCTGGGGCTGGGCTTTGCACAGTGCAAAGGGGCTTCCAGGCGAGCTGCAGCTCTGGGGCTTTTTGCAGCCCCAGACCCGTGGTGTGCCAGGAAGCCCAAGCTGCAGCCTATTCTTTCTCCAACCTTCCTGAGGTCGTGCTGCACTGCAGCACCCCCAATTTGTGCGTGGCCTATGCCGGCCCTCCCAGGTCACCCCCACAGCACCCCCATGCTCCTTACCTGAGACTCCTACCTCTTCCTGATTAATGACCCACACAGCAACTGGAACTGCCCAGATTGCCATTGCTAAGCGATATGGTCATGCTAAGCGATACGGTCATGTGGTGACATCGCACTTTATGACTGCATCGCTTAGCGACATAAATTCCAGTCCCAATTGTGGCTGTAAGTCGAGGACTACCTGTGACCAACTTTTATTTAGCCTTATGTCATCAGAGAAAGGCAAACATCTATAATGAAGCCTCCATGTTATATTGGAGGGAAAAGGGGAAGATTGAGAAGAAACACTAATCTAAGTAGTTCCAAGCCCAGATTTGATCTCATGCTTAGACCATGAACAGACATATTACCTGAATAGTTTCAAAGCAGGTAAGCCTACTGTGGAATGATACTTACTGCTACTAGGATACGTAACTATATTTCCTGGCCCAAGCCAAGGTACTTGTTCTTATTTGTCTAGAGCAAAATCATACTTTCACAGGATTAGCAGGCACAAAGGCTGGAATATCACAAAATGCTGCCTCTCCTATGCTTTTAAGGTGAAGCTGCTACATGCAATCCAACTGGGTTGGCCAATCATAAGTTACAGAAATACAACTTCCTAGTAGGCTGGCCAACCATAAACATAACTTCTCCCCTTCTTTGTATTCTATGCTTAGTGCTTAAAAGCACTGTTAAACTTCAAACGATGTATGAGGTATCACAAATGTGACATTGGATAAGCATGTCGGGCATTTGAAATGAAAAACATGTCTGAACCATTGGATTTTGTCCACATTTTATATGTCTGTATTTCTCTTTGTTTTATACATTTTGCTCCTACAGGTGGTCTGATTAATAACATTAATTTGGACCAGAAACTGTCATTAAGCGATGCGGGTTTAAGTCAGAAAAACAGGTGACTTTACCACTTAGCTACGGCAGTTCTGGCAGTCCTGGTTGCTTTTGTTAAACTAGGACTGTGTGGGTCATTAAGCGAGGACCTCATGTGACCATGAATTCTCACTTCCTGCTGGCCTCCCCACTGATTTTACTTGTGGGAAGCCAGCAGGAAAGATAGCAAATCGTGATCACGTGACCACGGAACACTGTGACAGCCATAAATACAAGGTTCAGTCAGAACTACCACTCGCTTAGAACCGTTGTATGTTTGAATGGTCACTGAATGAGTGGTCATTAAACGAGGACCACCTATAGGAGCAAAAGCAGATGGGGGATATTTTAATCAGCCACCAAAACCCCAAGCCTGTTTTTGTGCAGACATATGTCCTAGCTCTAGCCATGCTCTTAAAGTAGAAGTTCAAATCAGCAGTAGAAAGCATTTCTGCCTTAAAAGGTGAAATAGATGTTAAAAAATCATTGGCAAACAATCAAGTACAAAAGCTTTTGGGAACCAAGAGAGGCCCATCCTCACAGTTCTGGCATGCTTGAATAACACAAAATGATATTACCATCAAGTGAGATGCTACTACAGGTGATCCTCCCACTTAACCACAATTGGGACTGGAATTTAGGTTGCTAAGCAATGCGGTGGTTAAGCGAATGATCATGTGACCGCTTTACTTAGCGATCACAATCCTGCTAGTCCTGTTGCTGTCATTAGGTGAGGGTGCACAGGAGTGCAGTGTGGGTCAGGTGCACGGGGGCCACTTGGATTTTCAGCCTAGGAGTCAAGAGGCTTCTGAAGCCTCTCCACCCTGGGGCTGAAAATCCTGTTTGGATTTTGGCACAGAGCTTTTTCAGCCTGCCCCAGAGAGTGGCTTGGAATTGCCGAGTGCCCTGCAATCATGGGATCGCCATTTTCAATCTTCCCTGCTGGCTTCCCCAGAAAGACAATGGGGAAGCCAGCAGGGAAGGT